GTCCCTTGGACTTGTCATTCCAATCACGTGGCCCTCTGCTTTTACTTCTCCCTCTTCTGTCTGACTTTTCTGTCACTAGAGTCTGCGTCTCAGACTCAATACTCTGCTCTTTTATTCTGACTTCTTCATTCATCAAAGCCTCTTTGACCTGATCCAAGGTCAAGGCACCATCCTGGGTTGAATTACTGATTGATACTACCAAAGTGTTCCAACTGTCTGGAAGAGAACTAAACAATAACAAAGCCTGCACCTCATCATCCAACTTTAAACCCACATTTACTGCCTGGTTCAACAAACCCTGAAACGAACTCAAGTGCTCATTCATACTAGCACCATCAGTGTAACTTAACCTGGTAATCTGTTTCAGCGCAGACGACTTATTGATGCCAGACTTCTTCTAGTACATATTCTGGATTTTCTCCCAAAGTTCATCAGCTTTTGTTTCTCCCGAAAGTGATGAAACACATTTTGATCAATCCACTGTCGAATATTACCAACAGTCTTCCTGTGCATATTAGTCCACTTCTTATCAGTCATATCACTTGGCCTACCTTCATCGCCTAGAACAGGATCAAACAAATCTTTGCAATACAATAAGTCTTCCATTCTAGGATTCCATATATGATAATTGGATGAAGTCAATTTAATCATCGTTCCAGTCCCCGATGACACTTCCATTTTATTGGTATAACACCTCAATTATCGAACCTGGCTCTGATACTACTGTTGTGGCAGAAAAGGTACAAACGCAACAATTCAGCCGAAACGATTCCCAAGAAAAACTCATTTCCTACTACCAATAAAATAGGACAACCAAAAAAGCAAATAATCAAAGAACTGATAAAGTAAAGTAGGCACATAGATTTACGTGAAAAATCCAAATCAAGACAAATTACGGGACTGTAACAACAGTCAAATCTCTACCATCACAATAATGGGAAACAGTCTTCACCAACCGGTGGATACATAAGGATACCACTGTTGTGGCAGAAAAGGTACAAACACAAAAGTCCAGCCGAAACGATTCCCAAGAAAAATTTCTTTTCTACTACCAATAAAATAGGACAACCAAACAAGAAAATAATTACAGAACTGATAAAGTAATGTAAGCACATAGATTTACGTAAAAAACCCAAATCAAGACAAACAACGGGACTGTAACAACAGTAAAATCTCCTCTATCACAATAATGGGAAACATTCTTCACCAACCGGTGGATACACGTGACTTCCTAAAGATGGATTACAATAATACTCTTCCACACACACCTATCACAAAGTAGGATTAGAAGGATCTCACCAAAAGAGAGTGACAAGCCGTCGTCACACTAGTCAAATAATAGTTACCTATTTAACACAATTACTAGTAGTAAAGCAGAAAGTAGGGTCGATCCCACAGAGAAGCTTTCTAATTACCAGGTATAAATTACTCCTATTATTATCTAGATAAATGATGATCTTAGGTTTATAAAATTTAAAACTAAAATAAATAAATAAAATAAAGGCAAATAATATTAATTCAAATAATCAAACAAAGAAAACCTAGGACATTGGGTTCACCTACCGAATATTTGGTTTAGTTCAATTCACAAATATCTGACTTTTAACTTCCATTAACTCACAACGATTCACCTAATTAAGAACTATTCACTCTCGTGTTATAATTCTCTTACTTAGATTAACCCTATGACTACTCTCGTGACTATAGGGAGTAACAAAAGCACGTTAAGACCATTAAGAATCAAATATTGCAAAGGTTATAATCTTACTCTCGTAGCTTATAACCTAAGTTTATTATTCCTACGAACTAATATTAATCTTCCACTCTCGCTACTTCGATTAATATCTTCAGACATGCAAATAGTGGCCAATTACTTACACGAATTAAAACAAGAATAACAAATATTAATTAATGGAAGAATCAAATAATAATAAACCAAATAAATTCGGTGGCTACACCCAAGCCCTAGATTAAAAGAATTTAGCCACTAAACATTATTAAAAATAATTCAATACTATTTAGAGACATAATAAAAATAAATAAATTAAATAAATTAAAACTTCAAAACTGAATGAAGCCAAAGACCAGCCGACGGTTGCTGCTCGCTTCGCCGGATTTGCGGTGGTATGGATTGAAGATGAGAAGCTGCTGCTTGGCTCGCTTCGGTGGTTGCGCACGTGAAGGCAGGAAGAAGGTTGGGTTCAGGCTGCTTCGCGTGGATGATGATGGGAGGAAACCCGGTGGAGAGAGGGAGCAAGGTGGTTTTGCTGCTGCTGCTGCGTGGGAATGGAGGAGGGTGGTGCGGCGTGACCAGGAAGGCAAGGTGGCGGCTTCGGTGGTGGTGCTGCGCGGCGGTGAAGAGGAAGGCGGAGAAGAGGAAGAAGGTGATGATGGCGGTCGATGGTGATGATGCTGTCGGCTGGGAGAGGAGGGAGTTTGGCGGTGATCGGCGGCGGTGAAGAAGGAAACAAGAAGGTGGCGGTGAAAGTGGGTTGCAGCCGTAAGGTTTTCGGCCAGTTTTCGGTTCAGTTCTGTTGTAAAAATAAATCCCTAATCCTCCTTTTATAGACTTCCGGCTAAACCCTACTTCTTGAAGAATAAGAAAACTTGTTTCCCAAATAATACTGGGATTAAAATTCTTACCAAATCAGCCGCACCATCAACGTAACCTTCGGCCAATTTTCCAAAAATTAAAATCAAATTCTAAAATTGCATCATTGGCCCTCCAATTCTCTAAACTCATTAATTTCTTCCCCATCAATTGCTCCAATCTTCAATTCTTTCCCATTGAGTTGCTTTTAATTCGATTTTAGCTCAAAAATTCAACAATTCTTCATTTGAGTACAATTCCTACAATTAAAGACAAAATCACATAAATAGCATATTTGTGCTCAAAATATATTGCAAAAATCACAAATTAGGGATATAATAAATAGGTAAAATATAAACATATCAGAGAGCTAAACCAAAAATTAAACTGGAAGAATTGTAGATCTTGTTGATATTAATTAAAGTGGAAACTTGCACCAACAACTGATTCTGTTTCGTCACTCGATTAAAGCCTCAAGGTGAAACACTTTCTTCTCACAACGCCAAAACCCCAAAATCCTAGTTGTCTCTCCCTTTTTCACTCGCGCACAAAGCTATGCACGGCTGAATTTTTTTCATACAAACCCAACGTGTGGCTGCCCGTTTCTTTTGCTGAACTCACGTCCAAAAAAAAAAAAAACCACCATGGCCTTTTATAAGCCACGGCCAACACCAAAAACCAAACCAAATTGGAGTTGGTTTTTTTTTTCTTTCCTCTAGTCAAACCACTTATGTATTTAAGCGAGCTGGGCCTCCAATTGGGGGGAATAAGCCCAACAAGAACCAAGTAACTTTTAAAAGTCATTGAAACAATTCCAATATGGAAGTGGACTGGAACCATAATGAAAGCCAAAATTCTTGCTCCATTATTATTACATTAACTGATGCCAAACCTAGACACACCAATGCTCATGAATCTATATGCGCTAGATTTGTTTCTAAGGTCTCGTCTCATGTCAAAAGGTGGGCTTATAATCTTTTTCAAGCATTTTCTTTTCTCAATCTTGTATGTGTATAATAAGCCATTCGAGTTTAAAATCAAATTCTAGCTAGCGTGAATAGACACTAAATGTCCGCTAATGGTAAACAAATTTTGTCCAAGAACACTTCACACCATATTCCCTCGTTAGTAAAACATCCATATCATCATTGATGGATAGGGTTTGACCTTTGCACACGCAAAAAGGCATATCCATCCAAAAAAATAAGTCCACCATAGTAAGGAGAAAAATCCATCACCTGATTCATGTTCTTAGATTAAAAAGAAAGAATAATTCAACCAATGATTCATGTCATCAATTATATTACTCATTTCCTTTCACTTTTGTAATATACTTTTTTTATTGTTGGATTATTGCTGACCATTTTTTTCTCTGAAGGAAGGAGGGAATATGTATTATTCTTTGATTGACGTTGTTAGAATCCTTACTATATTGTTGTATTTGCCATAGATGGATTTTGGTTTTTGTTAATTACGAGTTTGTTTTATTAGTTAGGTTATTACCTAAAATGAGTTCTATCAAGTTCTAGTGCGCGGAGGTGATAGAAGTTTTTGGCACGATAATTGGTCAAACTTGGGAGTAATTTGGGACATCCCGGATGAAGTACTCCCAAATCCAAGCCTTACAATTCGAGATTTACAAGGATGTCTTTTTGGCGGCTGCAACTACGCATCTCTCCCATGAGACAATTGAAACCCTAAGGACCCTTGAACTTCAGTTTTATGGTGGTGCGAATTCGATCATTTGGCAGCCCTCACCAACAGGAACCTTCTCCATTAAATCAGCCTATGAAGTATTGCGGCCTAGGCGGTATAAAGTTGTAAGTCTCCTGAATTTTTGGCACAAACTTATTCCTCTCCGGATTTCCTTTTTCATGTGGTAACTAAGGGTCCGTTTGGTTTGAGCATGCGGTTTACTATGGCGATAGGTATAATAGCATAAAGGGATGGGGATAGGTTTGGTCATTCCAAAAACACTATTTGGTTTATAACTTGGGTTTTTGTATCATTCCCAATGTAGTTGTTTGGTTTGTAGAAATCAATCGGAATGGAATGATAAAATTACTTTTTTATCTTTAGTATAGAAATTGATCTACTTTGTTACAAAGTTTAAGTTCAAGTATTCTACAACTTATTTGCGATCTTTAATTGACAATAGCTAAACAATTCATCAAAACTTGAGTTAAACAATTGAATATTATGAACAAAAGTAAAATTGAATTTGAGTTGACCAATAAAAAAACTTACAAGTATATAAAGTAATGTCAAATCAATTATCAAAATAATGCAAAGAACAATACGATATGACTGTAGCCATTTATTCTTCGAAAACAAGAAAATCGAAAATGAAAACAAAAAGGCAACAAAAATAAAATGCTAAAATCAGCTGCTTCCAAATCCAACAAAGAACTTAAATGCTTGGTGTGGGAACAAGTAGGGTGATCACGTAAAGCCTTCGCATTTCAGCAGGAAGGTTGAAAAACACATCAATATTATCTTTTTCTGTAGTGAATAAGTTAGTTGCCTTGAAAACATCTCCACTTGGAAGGCCAATGTTCATTAGCTCTAGAACAACATCTTTCATTCTTTCTGCAGCAGATTTTTCACGCAAATTTTCCTCTACCATAGCATTTGCCATGGTTGCAAAATTGCTATTAAATCCTTCCACAAAAGTGCGAAAACCAGTATTGATATCTTGTAATTGTGCCCCAACATCCAAGGGAGTAGGTGCAAATGTTGCTTTCTTTCTTTTTGCAACCTTCTCTCCAGTGTTTGATGGTTGTACCTGTTTCTCGGGTAAATTCAGGGAATTTGGGGTTCCCTGTAATTCAGAGCTCACATTGTTGTTCTCTTCTTCAGATGAGAAATCAGTTTCACCAGAGTTTTGACCACCACGTTCATTATTTTGAGCAGTCACCATTTTGTGTATTGCAGTTTCATATCCTTGACTAACTGTTCCAGTAGCTCTATCTCTTCCATATACCAATTCAAGTTGATTCAAGTATGGGAATTTAAAATCCCACATTTCCTTTGGTTCCTTATGAGTCTAAATTAAATGAAAAGAGTAAAATTATATGCGGATAAAGGCTATAACTAATATAATTATAATAAAGTAAAGTATGTTGCCAGTGAGCTTACCTGACAATAGCTATCGAACCATTGCTTTTCACATACTATTTTTTGCTCCACATCATTCCATTGACAACCGCTCTCTCTCAGCATGTCATTGATACAATGGAATTTTGACTTTAGCCATTTGATTTTTGACTCAAGATGAGACGTAACTTTCTTGGTGAAATTAGGCATTATGTCAATAATTCTCTTTAGCACCTCAGTCATGTAGTTACTCTTAAAACCGCTATCAGTTTTCCACGACGGATCACAAGCCATACTTTGAAGAACTTGTATCAATATCTACACTTCATCTTCTGTCCAAAAGCATTTATTTCTTCCACGACCTCGACAAGCATCATCTTGCTCCATTCTAGCACACCTATGAGCATAATAAACAAAGTTAAAGATTTTCAATGGTTCAAATTTCGAACCTTTGCAAAATAGAACACCACACAAATTAAATCATTGTTCAAGAAATCAATGACATATTCGCAAATATTCAAGAAAAACAATAACATAATGAATCATCTACGACAAGAAGCACGCTTTCAAGAATTATATCTGCCTCTCCAACTATTAACATTTCTTTGGCCAAAACATTTCTTCGAGCCATTCTTGTGATGGATTAATCAATGTCACATAGCCTTCATTCTCGAGGGGGTCATCATCTTGAAGTTCATCTTCGTCAACTGGTTCCAGTTCTTGTGGATCAAAACTCATGTATCTCCTTATCAAATTATGAAGAAGACAACTTGCCAAAATAATGCGCACTTGAGTTTCAATGCGAAAAAAAGATGGGGAAGCTAATATTTTCCATCGCCCTTTAAGCAACCCAAAACATCTCTCAATCACATTTCTAACCTTAGAATGCTTCATGTTTAAATATTCTTGAGCTGTCCTTGGCCGATGACCTTGAAACTCATTAAGATGATATCGCTGGCCTCGGAATGGAGATAGAAATCCCTCAGCGTTACAATATCCAGAATCGACCAAGTAATAATAACCTTTAAAAATGAAACATGTATTAGTGTTTAAATGAAATAAAAAATGAATATACATTCATTTTCATATTAATGAATTTAAATATAAAATATACCTCGAGGTACTTTAAGACCATCAAGCCTACCAATAGCATCTCGAAGTACACGATCATCATGTGTTGACCCCTCCCAGCCAGGCAAAACATATATGAATTGCATATTTGGACAACACACGCCTAATACATTTGTCGCAATATTGGCTTTTCTGGTGCGATGTCTTGGTTTTTCATCAGATGGGGGTGTCACTCTGATTAAGGTTCCATCTAAGGCCCCTAAACAACCCTGTTATTTGAATAAAATCAGAATACAAAAGTGAGTCCTTAAGTAGTGCATTAAAGTTTACAAAACCAAAAACAATTAACTCCCAAAGTACCTTAAAAGACTTCCAACAGTTGTCCTCACAATCTTCAGTGATAGGTTGAGGTCTTTTAAGCAATATTCCATGTAATTTCAAGATTGCTAAAAGGCAACTATTGAAGTGGCGGCTAATAGTTTCACCGCTTCGATAAAACACCAAACCCATTGTCCTATTCTTTTCATGGTGAGCCAACACGTAAACAAAGAGAGCAACTATTTCCTCTAATGAAGTGTTCTTTGTATCTTTTAAACCTCCAACATCTCTTACCATCTCAGATAATAAACCAAATGTACGTCTATCCATTCGGAGCTGACTAATACAAACAGTATCAGATTGTTTTGTGAGCCTATACACCCAATTCATTCTCTCCAATCTTATTTCTTCTTTAGTTTTCAATGGGGGGCTTATAATGTGCAAATACGTCAACAACATTTAATACCAAGTAACAAAAACTAAAGTAAACACATTAACCAATGATGCCATAATACGAACATTTCGAATTAGTTTGCGTCGTCTACTAGTAATAGGGCTGCGTGCCATAATATTCTACAAAGAAATGAAATGAAAAAAAAATCAGAAATTAATCAAAAAAAAAACATGAATAGCAATCATTTGACATTCTAAAAAAGAGAACAATAATGAGGAAACACCAGTAGCATAATCTGCAACAAGAGAAAACACATAAGAGACTAAAATGAACCGAAACAAAATAGTTGCAAAATCTACAAAGCATCAAATAGGTAGTAGCAAGCAAAAAAGTAAAGATAAAGAGGGAAAGATCTCGAGGAAAAACAAAAACTTAGCAGCCAGCTTACCCATCCCCACCCCTAGGAAAACTCAAATATATGGACAATGCCAACAAGGGCTCGCACCAGCAAAGGTGGAAATATTAAAGAAAAGAGTGCTTTGCAGCAACAAAAGTAGATGGTAGACAGAAAAAGCAACAGGACAACCAAAAGGGGAACATTTTGCGATCTCCCTACCCCTCTAATTTAAAATAAATAAATAAAACAACAAAAACCATGGCTCTTCTACCCAATCAACGAGGCAGAGAAATCTCGAAATCAGACTAGATAACGTGAGCAAGATGACACTCATACCCAATTAAATAAAGGACATTGCCGTCAACAATTACTGCCAAAGAAGAAAAGCCGTCAACTTTCAGAGATACACAAGGAGAAGAGGAAACATCAGGAGCACACTGTCAACTTATGCAGGCTTGTCTAAAACAACGAAGACCCTTCAAAATAACTCCATAACTTCTGGTAAATCTACATAAAGGAAAAAAGAAACCACCAAAAAAAAGTCCGAAAATTTATTAAGCTAACTGAAGAAGATCAAAGAGACTTGATAAAGAGAGGAACTCTAGATTTTACTATGTAAAAAAGAACTCCTGGAAAACTAAATCCAGACTGAACCAACAAGCAATAGAAGTCCAATCAAGTTCCCGTATGCTAAAGGGGGGAAAACCAGAACAACCAGAATGTCAAAAGACTCTTCAACCTGTCTTGCATTGACCAGAATAGAATTAGCAACAGAAAATTGGAAATCCGAACTCCACAAGTAAACCACTGCCAAATCTGCAAACAGGACATATCCACAAAGTTGTGCAGATATCCCAAAACTCCACCACACAATCCAAGGCTGCACCTAAGGTCCCCCTCAGAATAAATAAACCACATCAGCCAACAATTATATCATGTAGAAGGCTAGAACAACAGATGCCGATTTATAAGGATTAAAGAGATCAGGAGAAGAAAATCAGTTAACCATTTATACACCAACGTGTGGAGGACCGGGACTGGACCAAGGAATCAAAACAGCAACATAATAATCTTAGTTTGTGTCTAAGAATCGTCATCGGCAAAATCAAGGAAGAACAAATTAAAGGAAGATCATGACATAGATCACAATCGAGTTCAATGGTACTAATTTAATCAGCACAAGTGTGCAATAAGATGCAACTAAAATACAACGATTGCATAAACCCACGTCTAAATTTCAATTTATTGTAGTTTTATCCAAACAAAAAGCAAACAGAAAACATTGCAAAAACAAAAAATTGCACCAAATTTTCCTCATGAATATTCAAAAACTCAAATACAATAAAAGTTTACAATAACCCAAAAAAAAAAATCAACGCAAGTTTAAAAAGCTGAACGCACCTAAACCCGAAAGCGGTGATAGATTCGTCACTTCCGCCGCAACTCGTCAAGCCAAAATTTGATCAATCTCTGCGCTATTAGGAGAAAGAATGAACGCATAAAAGCTCTGAATTAGGGGAGCTCATCAACGACAAATTGAAAACCTAGCCAGCAAAACAGAAGAAAATTAATTTGATTTCAGATTGATGCAGAAAGGCAATAGAGCCCAGTTGAGCATGCAAAAACGACGCCGACTACTTAATCAGTAGATGCTTATATACTCGCACATTTTAATGACCAATATAAAGCTTTTGACAGATTCAAAATCATTCCCATCAATGACCGAAAGCAAGACAAAGCACAAAGAAACCAAAATTTTAATTCAGAATACAATTGTAAATCAAAAAAAAAAAGAAGAAGAGTGACATACCTAAAGAAGAGGAAGATGAACACGATGTTGCAAGGGGAAAACATGAAGACATGTATGTATTTATATACAAAAGAGTGAGGTGATGAAGATAAGAATTTGGAGAAAATTGGGTAGTGATTGAGACGATAGAGCGGGAAACGATGGAGAAGCAAGGCGGGGGCAGGAAAAAGTATGGGTAAATCGCAGAAGGGTGAAACGCAGAGAAGAAAATTGGGAGAGATTTGATACGGAGAAGATAACGATATAATTTGGCGGAAGAAAAAAAGACGTAAAGGAGAAATCAGTGATAAAGGAAAAAATTGCTAATAGATAAGTTGGAATCATTTATGAAACCCTCCCCTTAGGTGGGTTTAACAGATTCCTGGATATTTGGCATAATTCAAAATTTTCGTTTTAAAACCCGTAAAACAAACGTTATTTTTGGCAATTAGTCCATTCCTCAATTCCCAAACCCTCAAAACAAACGGACCCTAAGAAATATGTTGCTTCCATTCCCGGAGATACTTAATACTTTTGTCATTGTTTCATTTCCAACGAGGTGCTATGGATGTGGAAATAGTGAAGAATCTGTTAAGCATCTTTTTGTTAGCTGCCCAATGGTGCGCCACATTTGGGAATTTTTTGCAAATATGTTGAATTCTTCGATCCCGGCTGCACATACTTGTGTCACTTCTTAAATGCTTGGTGGTTGCAAGGCTCTTACACTACAACAATGAAGGTTTTGTTTGAATTGATCCCAACTTTTGTTGTTTGGAAAGTTTGGAAGGCTGGAAATAAAGCAATTTTTCATAATGTTTGTACTCCGCACCAAGTAATAGTGAAAGCTATCATGCAAGACTTGGAGAATATTTTCTCTATGAACAAGGTTGCAGTTCGAAATAATGCTGAAAAAGTTTTCATGGAGAATATCTTTCCATCTATCCATTTCAAGCTGAAGCATAGAACACTCAAATGGATTGCTTGGAAGCCGCTTGATTTTAATAAATTTGTTTTTAAATTGTGATGGTTCTTCTATTGATAGGGACTCTGATTCTGGGTACGGTTTCTTAATACATGGTCATCTTGGAAAACATCTTTATGGAGAACTTGGCTTGGCGATGGAAATAGTTTGGTGGCTGAGGTTATGGGACTTTTATTTGGAGCTCGCAAGTGTGAATCTTTGGGACTTCAGCTAGTGGAAATTCAAACGGACAATAAAGCTCTTGCGGATTTTCTAAATTCAGAGAATGCTCCACCTTGGAAATATTTTTTTTTTGCTTAAAGGGATCAAGGAAATCATATTCCGAATGTGTTACACTGTTACC